GCTAAGCATTTTCCATGTACTACTGTATTTAATTTGGCCAACAACTCTACAGTAAAATACTATTATTATTCCTATTTATAGAAGAGTAAATGAAGGACAGTCCAACAAACTTGTTCCATATCATATAACCGATAAAGGGCCAACTCGTTCTGGAACCCGTGTACTTCTGATGTGAAAGTCCATGTCACAACGGTATTTTCCCATTTTGGAACTTACTCCCCCCCTTTTTAAAAAAAATGTATAGACAAAGTATTGTATTCTCTGTAGGAAAAACAGGTTCAGAAGCCAGTTAGTCATTTTTCCTGAGGCCTTTCCTATATTAAATTCATCTAAATTTCCTTAACAAAATACTCCAAACTTATAAAAAATTCAAAGTGTAAAACTAACAGTTTCATATTGTCACAATGACAATATGAAAGTAAACACCAAATGTCTTATCCAGCATCTAAATGAGACCCTGGAGAATTAAATTTAAATTCTGTTGAAACAGATCATTTGGAAGTAGCCTTAAAATAACATCAAACTGTTAAGGCAAAAAGTCATTAACTCAAGTTTAAAATACTAAAAAGGGGAGTTTTAAATATATCTCCCAAAAGGATAGACTAGAAACCTTATTCAGATTTATACTCTATATTTCCTCCTATCCACTTAATATAGCAAAGATACACAAAACACTAATTCCTAGGTGATCCATACCACATCTCAAAACAATAAATTTTCTAATCCATATCTGAGAAAAGATTCAACTTATTATCAAACCTTCTTTGCTTTCTCCCCCCATCCCCTGCCTTCCTTTGGGCTCAGAAATCTGGCAGTGCCGAAGAAAATACAGCTGAAGCTGTAACCCATTGTGACTTCTGATTCCTTGTATCACGTTTAAAGAACATGAAGTCGAGGCACTTGATCAGCCTGGGCCGTCTGAGCCCTCGCTCCCTGCCCGCCTCGCTCCCTGCCCACCTCACTCCCTGCCCGCCTCGCTCCCTGCCCGCCTCGCTCCCTGCCCGCCTCTCCCTGCCCGCCTCGCTCTGCCCGCCTCGCTCCCTGCCCGCCTCGCTCTGCCCGCCTGCCTTGCTCCCTGCCCGCCTCGCTCTGCCTGTCCTGCTGGGGGCCCACACCATTTGCTCTCCAAGCTTCCATCTCGTGGGCCACCATTTACCTATATCACTTCTTGTTGGGCAAAGCATCAACCAGACAAAATAAAATTTTAAAAAACCATAAAGAGGTACTAAAAGCTCTGGTGTTCATGAGATTAAAATGATTGCTCAAGTATCATGAGTTAGGTCCACTTGTGTATGCATTTTTAACATATGTTCTTGAGAGATTCAAATCTTTGCTGTAATTAGGGCTACTGAAATATCGTCCTGGACCCGGAGGTCATCAAAGGAAGCCTGTAGCACACGAAGGCAAGCCTCTTAGCCCCAGCACCTGCAGAGACAAAGCAAGTCCCACACACGCACGAGAAGCCAGCTAGCCCGCTAAATCATTCCCACTCAGATTCTCAAAAACACTCCCCTGATGGGCCTCTGTGACTCTTACTCTAACAGTAGAGCGAGTACAGCTGAGATTGGAAAAAGACGTTTAATGGAAGTGAATTCCTTACAAGCCGTTTTCCCAGCAGAAAGATGTGAATACCAGGGCAGTGAATGAATTTGGTACGGGTGATAGTTCTGCAATAAAAAGAATTCATTCAGAAAAGGTTAAATGAAAACCGGATATAGAGCTGATAAAGGCAAGCAGTAGAAATGTGAGGCAAAAAAGTCCATACGGTTATTCCCAGTAGGAACGATTTTCAAAGCCCAGACACCAGGGAGGATGTCGTCATCGTGGCCTTTGCTGGAGCAGAAAAGGGGCACATGCGAGGTGCTGGGCTCATAAAGTCGCGAGGCCAGGAAGGACCGAGGGGGTTTTATTCTGAGATGTTTACCCATCTGCAATTTAATAGGGAACACGGTGAAATTACACACACTCCTCCTTTTCGTGCTCACTTCTTAGTCACTTCACTTTCTTAGGCTTTCGTCACCTCAGCTGTTAAGTGAGGGAGATAAGCCAAATAAAGTCTAAGTTTCCATCCAGATCTTAAAAAAAGATCGTGTCTTTGAAAAATGCTTGTATGTGGGTGTGTTCAGTGACCCCTCCCTTCTAATATGCCACTTTACCTTGGTAGCTTCTGATACATCAATTATAGCTAAAAATTGCACAATTATGGGCTTACAGCAGAATTAGCTCACAATATTTCTTATTGTCTCTGTGACAATGATATCATGTGACCTATGGAGATAATAAAAAATAAGTACAAAACAAATGTAAGATAGATCTTTAATATATTCCTCACAGCAAAGAAAGGAAACCGCAGGAAACCGTTTCTGTCCTTTTCCTCCGACGCTGCTAGACCAAGTTAATAAGTGCAAAGGGCAGGGCAGGAACAGCTCGCCTGGGAGAGGCTCTGACTAGACGTGTACCTGTCCTGCTGTGGTCTGTGTGGTCTAGAGGGAGCACAGAGACTTGGATTCTAGGCCGAACCCTCCCGGTAACCATGCAACTCCAGGCAGGACGTTTCCCTTTTCCTGCCTCCATTTTCTATTGGTAAGACGGCAATAATTCTATACGTCTCTTCTATTTCAAAAATGTGCTAAGTACAGAGATGATGTGTGTGGAAAATTTGAGTTCTAGGGATGAAAAGTATTATAGGCAATAATTAAGCATGTTAATGACAAAGAGCACTGACTTAACAATTTTTTAAAAAAACACTATCATGATTAGATCAAGACAAGCTAACAGGAGGGACAGTGACTCAACCACAGAGTTGCAAGGAGGGTCATCAGCAAGTAAGAGCAAAGCTGTTCCCAAAGAGGCCCAGATGGAGGTCTGGGAAGGAGAACCCAGGGTTGCTGCATTCCAAACGGGCAGGAAACCAGCAGGTCAGGCGGCCAAGCCCATGACTCTCCAAATCTTTTACAATTTGTCCTTTTCCTTCAAGCCTCCTTTTTTTGCCCTGTGGGCAGGCAGGGATGGAGAGCCATAGACTGAGTCTGATTTTAGTGAGAGTTTTTCACTTACTGATGGAGTTTGGATGTGTTGTCCTCCTAGAACTCACGGAAATCTGATCCCCAAAGTGGCAGTGTTGGAAACATTGAGTCATGGAGGCAGATCCCTCATGAATGGATTCATGCTCTCCCTAGGTGGGGGGATTAATGAGTGAGATCTCGCTCTGTTTGTTTCCACGAGAGCTGGTTGTTTAAAAGACCCTGGCACCTCCCCTCTTTTTCTTGCTTCCTCTCGCCATGTGATCTGCTTGTACCTGCTGCTGCCTGCCGCTTTTCTGCCATGAATAGAAGCAGCCTGAGGCCCGTGCCACATGCAGCTGTCCCAGAATCGTGCACCAAATAAACTTCTGCTCTTTGTAAATTACCCAGTCTCAGGTATTTCTGTTATAGCAGCACTAACAGACTAATACACTATCTCATTAAGCCTAAATATTTGTTTCTTAGGAAAATAATCCTGCAGCAGTGGAGAGAGGACAGGTGGGTGAAGACTCATGAACCAGTTAGGAGGCAGTTACGGGGGCGACGGTGAAGAGACCCAAACAAAGCTGAGCGATGGCAGAGTCGCTTCTCTGTGGAAAGGCACTTCTACCCCAAACAGGAAATATGAGGGGTCTTCAAAAAGTTCACAGAAAGATCCATATTATCTTTTAATTCTATTTCTCCATGAACATTTCGAAGTCCCCTCATATTCTTTTGGAATAAAAGTTGGGTTCTATCTGTGCGTAGTTAAGGTAAAAATATCTCAAATCATGGAATACAGAATCCCATAACCCCTAAAAAACTATTTTCCCACCCCCAATTTTATATCTTCAAGCCTGGTAATAATTACAGCTTGAACTCCTGAAGCATGTCTCTGTTCTGAGCACTGTGCTATGTGCTTTACAAACACACAAGCACCAGCAACGGGGCAGGCATCGTTATACTCGCTTTCTAAAGGAGGGAACTAGGACTCCGGAAAGTTAAGTGACACACCCAGGGTCCTGTAAGTAGGAAGGGACAGGGAAGGATCCCAGCATTGGTCTGTCTGCCTGCAGAGTCTGTGCTCTTTATAGTATGCTATGCTGTTTCCATGTTTACCTTTTTAGGATTTCACCTGCATTCATTTTTCCTGCCAGGAATGCTGACTGGAAGGGGAAGGTGGCAACGGCAGGCACATCAGCATGGGGGACAGGGGAGCGAACGAAAGGCACAGACGGAAGAAGAGACAATCACGCCACTCCCCATGCCACGGCCCTCGCCTTAGGAGGACACAGATGCCACAGCCATGCATTTAATGAACTCGTTTGTGCTGTGCTCCTTGCCGCTGCCATCGAGAGGCCAGGAGGAGGGAAGCAGGCCGTGGCAGCTGCCACCTCTTAGGGACCTGAGCGCAGTATGACTGATGGCTCGGCCCCTCTGGCCATAGGGGGGCACACCTGGACGCCATGACCGGCCCTGGCTGCCTCTGGAGGGTTGCCGGGGCCACGGGTGCCTCGGCCTGCAGCCTGCCCCCACCTCCTGAGCCCCAGTCCTGTCCTTTGTCTCTCCCCTTCCTCTGATGACCACAGCCCAAGCAAACAGCAGGAGCGGCCGGCCCTGTCTGGATCACATCAGCTGCTTGTATCCTGCTATTTACATTTATGAAATATGGTATCGCGAGATCACATTTAGTAAAACTTTTCCTCAAAAACACTTCTGTTCTCTAATCCACTTTCTACTGGTTAGAAGCAAAGCAAATGGATCATACATTTTAAAGCAGAGGGAAGAAAAAAGACATGCCATTCTAGAAATGTCTAGCAAGCAAATACCCCAAGAGTATTTATCCAAGTGGTTGTGCTGGGATGTCGGAGGGAAAACGTGAAAGCATTTTTCTTGGCTGCCATCACTTTGACATGAACTTAAGCCCCCAGTAGCAGCACAGGCGCCCCCCTTTCATGTGGGGCAAGTGCGGGGGTGCAGGCGGCGCGGGGCTCTCACCTGGCAGGACCACGGTCTGCGGCGCCGCGGCGTCGGTGCTCACGCAGAGCCGGCCGCCCTTGGCCAGCCTGTCGCACAGCAGGGAAATGTGCTTCTTCAGGCGGCTCGTGTCCTTGGGTATGTCCAGCTGGCTGCTGAGGTTCAGAGCCTGCTCCTTCGAACTCTTCGACAGGCAGGTCTTCAACAGGTGGGAGACAGCAGCGTCCACTGTTTCTTCCCAGCCCTGGATGCAAAAGCCAACTTTGAGTTGATGCAAAGATGACAAGGAGCAAAGTGGCCACTTTACTGTTAACCAGGTCACGCCAGTCATTGAGCGCTTGTGTTCAAGGGTTGGGGACTGAAAAGCATGGTGTCTGGAATATTCCAGATCAGCCTGGTTTTAAATTCTAGCTCTGTCAGCTGTTTGACTTCAGCAAGTCTCATGCTTAATTCCCCTCAGCCTCGTCCCCATCTACAAGCGACCATGCCAACAGTCTGTCCCTCCGAGGCTGAGTGATTACATGAGACGGTGCGTGAGAAGCGTGGAGCCCACGCCAGGCACAAAAGCATCTCAGGGGCAGGTCTGCGGGGGACCTGGTGGCTGAGGCTGCCAGGATGATCGTTCGTTCTGCCTTACCTTTCCGTGGAAGGAGAGCTGGCCAGGAAGCGGAGGACCTGGGGGAACCTCGGGGGAAACTGGAATGGACAGAAGACCCTGGGGTCTCTCAGCCACTCTTCCCACAGCTTCGGGGTTGCAGGCCGAAACCAAAGGAGCTTGTTTCAAGAGGGATTTGTGACACACAAGGGCCTGTCTGTCCTTCACTGCCCAGGTGACAATAAGTTGACACTAAGTAAGGAAGTAGGCCATCTGCCCCAGTTTTGTTGGGGACAGTATGGCAGTGCTGCAGTGAAGACCTGCAGAAGCACAGTGTCCCCTCAGCATATCCCCTAGGTACATCGGTCATGGAGGACACTGGCACCAGGAGGACTGACGTGGGAGGCAGCACCCTCGGAAGGTTCAGATAACACGACCGACAAGGGGTGACAGGTGAAGAGAGGGAGGGGTCAGTTTACGAGCTCCCCTTAGGCACCCCCAAGGGGTCCCAGAGATGACTGGGTAAGATCTTATGGGGGTCTGGAGTCCTAAGCAGCATGATAGGGGAGTGTGAGTGAAATCTGGGTGTCATCGTCAATACGACTCCGTTTGTACCCAGAGGCTGGCAAGGTCTAGAGCACCAGAGTGCAATTATACAGGAAGACACTAAATGAATTTATTCTCATACAATATTGTAGAATGGCCCAAGCCCCTTACATGAGAGGTGAGAAACCTGAGGCTTGGAAAGAAGGGGTCTTCGGAAGCTCTCACTGCTAGTACCACTCCATTCCCAACCTTATCATTTGGCCACTTTTCAAATGTGCACATTGGACGAGGACACTCCCACGTTTCAACCACTAAGTCCATACGCTCAGCTTGGCATACAAGACACTTTCTGCTCCAGCTCCTGCTCCATTGCACTCTCTTCCCATCCACCTGCACCCCACTCTCTGTCTCACTGAGGACTCTGCACGTGCTTGGGTGTCCTCCTGCAACACCCCACCTCTTTACCTGGCCAATTCCCACTCATGACTCAGCTCAGGTATTGCCATCCAAGGATCACATTCATGGGCCCTCTTTGGGGCTCTGAGACCTCCTGCACCCAGCTCCATCATGGCACTCCTTCCCCTGTGTTGTGGTCACTTTTTGCATGTCTCGTTTCTCCCATCAGAGTGCTGGAATGCTTTGCACCCCTGCACTGTGCTTAGTACACAGAGGTTGGTCAAGAAATGTGTTTGTTGGACAGAGAGATGGTGAGACCTAGGACCAGGACATTAGAGTTGAAAGGACTTTGGAGATCTTTAAGTCCAGTCTTGAGGGATCTTCCCAGGATACTTTAGACAATAGCAGACATCTGCCTTGGAATGGCTGTCTTCAAGAGCCAAAATGACTACTTTTTCAAGGCTTCACTTCTTTCAGGGACATGTGTAACCGGCAGAAAGCTATTCCTGCACTGAGCCAAAATCTGCCCCATTGGCCCTTATTCTACCCTCCAGAGCCATGCAGAATAAATCCAACCTCTCTAATACATGACAGCCCTTTATATCTGTGAAGACAGCAATTCTGTACCCTCTCCTCCAGAATAAACATCCCAGTTCCTCCAGCTCTTCCTTATATAAACATGGTTTCAAGTTTTCCCTCCGTTCTGACCACTCTTCTTTGAATGAGCTCCAATTTTAAACACTTAAAAATTTATACAGCTAAGTAGAGAACCCCAAACTGACCCCGAGCACCAGGCTTGGGCTGGGAGCACAGGGTGGGACCCAGCTCTGCCCCCCCCGCCCCCGTTTTCTGGGAATTCTACTTGCCAGTCTGGCCTCCAGTTGCCTCTGCTCTCTTGGCAGCTGTACCACGCTCTTGATTCACAATGAGCACACACAGGCTTAAACCCCAGCCAGCCCTTTGCACAGCTGGCACGTTCCTCCCTTCTAGGCTTATGCAGTTGGTTCCTTAGACCAAAGTACAGACTCCACACGTCTCTACTAAAGAACGTCCCTCTGATTGCCATGATTGGTACCATGTGTTAAATATGTCCCCCAACAGTTCATGTGTTGGAAACCTGTTCCCCACTACAGTGAGATGGTGAGACCTAGGACTGGGACCTTAGAGTTGAAGTGTTAAGAGGGTGGGAAATCTGACTACGGTGTTTGAGAGGTGGGGTCTTGGAGAGGTTACTGGGTTGCGAAGACTCTGCGGATTAATCCACTCACGGATTAATGGGTTAATGGGTTAGTGGTTTAGTGGGTTAGCACGGGTGTGGACTGGTGGTTATGTAACGAAAACACAGGACGCTCTCTTGCCATATGACACCCTGGTTGACCTGGGACTCTCCAGAGTTCCCACCAAGGAGACCCTCCCCAGATCTGTTCTCTGGACCTTGGACTTCTCAGCCTACAAAGCCATAAGAAACAAACCTCTTTTCTTCCCAAATTACCAAGTTTCAGGTATTCTGTTGTGAGCAACAGAAAACAGACTACGACAATACTTTAATTAGGACTTTCGATTCTACTGAACCATTTCCATTGATCCATTATTGATGCCACTAGGCAAATAAGGATATAAAGAATTTTTAAATGATCTTGAAAATCCTTTCAAGAGACTGCAAAGACTGTAAAACAGCTTCTTACCTCAAACCACTACAGAATAATAAACTAGGAAGTTTACTACAAAGACAACTCTCTATTACTGCCAAATCTAAACTGCACAAAATTGTCTACAATTAAAAAGTCAAAATATCTAAAATAGCCTTTTGTGTTTTAATAATAAAGGGAAGAGGTAAATTAAGACAAAATAGTAAACCAGCTGTCAGATTTGGTGAGGACAAATTTTCAAGTTGCTTTTGGAGCCATTGACAAAGACCTCTGGAGAATAAGCAGGAAAGACCCTTTGAATATTATTTGGCATTTGTATGCTCCGTGGTTATTGCAGCATTAAAACAGTTCCTATAGACTATTCATCTGAACAAACTACTATATTCATAAATAGATTACAGCAGCATATTAGATAATTTTAAGTAGATATGGCACTTGGTTAATACAGAAGTACTACAGAATTTCTTTTCCTACTGCCAACTGGCAGATCAAGTAAAATACCATGCCATGTTTAGGCATTTGGCACGAATATTTCTTTAACATGATGAGGCAGGATGCCAATACATGAGAAAGACTGCCACTAAAATACAGAGCTATTATTTGGAGAGCCTGAATTGCTACACAAATACAAATATGATCATAAAAAGAAATGTTTATGAGACAAAAAGAAGAGCCTCTGAAATAAGAATTTTGCTAAATAAAAATGAGATGTGATCATTCACTGATCAAAATGTAGCATACTTACCTAATGAAATGTGAAACAAAACTACGTGGAAACCAGAAGCTGAACTGTGAGAAGTACTTTAAAGATAAGCAATTTTAACCACATCTTTGGTGTTTGAGTCCATCACTTTTATTCACTGACCTTAAATTGTTAAGTCTAATGTTCACTTTTAATGTGTAAACACACACACACACACACACACACACACACACGCAAATACTTAATCTTTAGCCTTTAAAGCCGAATTTAAATCACAATAACAACTTGTTTCATATTGTGAGAGTGAAAGAAAATCTTAAATTGGGGAAAATACCATTAAAAATGTCTAGGAGGGAACTAAGCATGTGCTCTCCAGTGCGAATTCATTTTTTGTTTTAGTTCTCAAATCCATAGCTTAACTCTAATGTCCCAATTGACCTGTGCATGGCTTTTAGAAAACAACAGCAGGTGCGAAGAGGAAGGAAGGTGGGCAGGCGGGCATTTAAATGTCTATGGGACTCTATCTTCTTTACAGCCCTTGTGAGTATCAGAAATTAACTATTCATTGTGGGTTCTTTGTGTTCACTTTTTCTAGTCTAGCATTGATAATTGCGTTTTCCTTTGTTCCTAAGACCTTGGCTCTACCCCACTGTGGTAACTTCATTTTTGTCTTAGGCCTTCTGCCTGAGCCCCTGCCTTGGGAGCCTGCTTGAAGTGTCACTCCCTGACAGCCTGGGCTGCCTTGCTCCTGCCAGATGCCCTCCATCCGGATCCGGTGGCCACAGCCCTGCTGCCTGACTTCTCCAATGCCTAATGCCTGCTGTGCACATCCCCCACCATGGCTTCCCAGTTCTCAGCTTCCACGTGTCACCTGCCAGTGCAGAGGCTCCTGTACTCCATGCTGGTCCCAGATGCCTTTGTGTATCGGTGCAATGTCCAGGTGTGGCCTGTTTCCGAGAGCCAGCTCTTTAAATTCAAGGCCCTGGCCCTGCCTAGTCTGCTGCTCCTGACTGAAGTCAACTGAGCTATGCTTTCTGTGCTCCAGAGACCACACAGCTGTGCTGCGTTTCTGGTTCCACGGCTCTACCTACTGTGCTAGTCTCCACCAGGACCACGCAAGTGGCTTATCAGAAACCGTAATAAGCAAAAAGTTTGACCAAGTTTGTAAACTTAATTCCCTAGGGTATCAACCAAAGTAACCAAAGAAAAAAACCAAACTGAAAGAGTATGTCGATGCCACCTGTAAATTAAAACAGCTGAGTTGAAGACAGCTGCCCCTAGGCTTATGGGTTCTGACTTAACCTCACTCACCTGCACCGTGTGACCTTAGATAACTTACCTAATCACTCTGGGGT